TTTCACTTTCATGTGGAAAAAAAAATGATTCGCAATAATCCCGAAGCCAGTGATATAGCAATATCATTTTCCCTGAGCTACCCTTCGCAATAGATTCGACGAATGAGGTTCTTCTTCTTTCTATTTAAAAATGTCTAAATTAGACATATCATATTTTTGAGTTTTATATATATTAAGATTGTATTATATATTTTATTATATACAATATTTAAAAAGAATATAATAGAAACTTTTGTGGTAAAAATGGATATAAACTATAACTTTGCTCTTTATATACATATGTATACATGATACAAATGTATATGTACATAATACAATCTATAATCTTTAAAAATAATCTTAAAGTTTTTCAAGGAAAAATTTTAGAAATGGATGGTTAAAGAAATTTAAATTGCATCTATGATAATTTTTTTTGCTATTTTTACAATAATATTTAATTTAATCTTATAATTTTGATAATTATTGGCTGAGAACCTCTGGCCTAAAATACTAAGCCAGGCCCGAGAGCGCGGGTGCATTATTATATTGAATTCGTGAAAACGGAAAAGTAAGTCGACAGGAAGACCGGAAAGCGAATGGAAAGCGAGGAGTCGCGACAGCGTTAAGCCCAATGGTGCGGCTTTATTAATTATTGCGACGACCCTTTGGCTGCCATCACCCGCCACTTCCTACTCCTTTTCCATTTGTGTGTTTGTTTGCGTACGGGGTTTCATATCGATTCGACCGGTTTTGCTAATAAAGAGACATTATTCGTTCGGGCTTACGCGATATTGAGAGCGCTTACAATTTTTTTAAAGCCTTTATTATTTTTCCAATGTTTTATTTTTTTTCAAAAATTATTTTGATTGAAATAAATTATAATTAAAGGGAAAGCTCTATTGTTTTCATGCATTTCATTCTCATAGAGTAATTATTTATTATATGTGTAATAATATGCCATATAATTTACTAATTTATATTGTAATTTATACTTTGTTTAAAACTTATCTTTACATTGAAGCATAATTTTTAGTTTATAAAGAAAAGAAATTTTAAAATCTCTTATATAGAATGTCTAATCAATTTTCTACGAAATGTCACATACTTATCAATTTTATTATATTAATAGTTTTCGTCGAATAAAATTTCATATATCAATGGATCGCGAAGAAAATAATAAGAAATCACAGAATACACTTGGAATGGGCCACTTATGTAGACTTTTAAGTCTTAAAAAAAAACAAATCTAATCGCATATTTTAGCGAGCGGAAAATCTTTTTCGAAAAGAGGAAACTCGAAAATATTAAGTTATTGGTCGAGTAGAATCAAATTAAAAACTTATTCCCTAGTAATTGAGTGATGCGTCCTCGTTATGACGGATTCCTTGTTTCTCTCTCTCTCTCGTCAGTACGCATATCCCCTTCCATGTTGTTCGAAGGGTTATTCTTTAGGGTGATTATAAGTCAGTGAGTGTCACGTTGAAAGGCGGACTAGAAATTATTTCCACCATGAAATTTCGCAATTGATCTTTGCTTTAGGGATTAATGTTGAAATGAGGGTTCTATTCAGGAATGAATTGTAGAAAAGCTATAGTATAGACGAGGAAAAGAGAGGCAAAAGAATTTTTTATATCAAGAGTTTTCTTAAAGTTTTCTTATCTTTAAATGTGTAAGAATCAATATCACAATTAGATATTTCACTATTAATGATTTAAAATTCCAAAAAACTTGTTCAAAGTACCATACCATTATTATATCATTATTGGTCCATTATTATTATTATACTGTTATTATATGCAAGATCTTTGACGTTGTTTTCCGGTTGTTTCTCATCCATACCCTTATCCTACTATCTCAACATCAAACTTACATTAATTAACATCACCCTCAATCCAGCCATGCTTTTACTATGACCCGGACAAGCAGCGTGAACTTATTAGTTAGCATGCATTTGAAATCTTCTGGTGCGTCAAACACTCACCATAAATATGTAAATTCATCCTGGAGGGATTGCGGGAGGCTGCAAGGAGTAAAGGGTGGTTGTGCCGGCACTCGTCATACGGTGTTGCCGAGAGAGGGCTGCTTTTTCGAAGGGTGACATAGCATGGGTGGCGTGCCTTTTCCTTCATCACGATGGCGCTTTTATAATATTCACCCCACGTGTACACACGTCGGGTGATTTTCGTCCCGGTATCGCCGCTTCCGCCATTCCCATGCCAATGTCGGAAAATACCTTGGCAGCCAGCGATCGAAATATCGAATAAGAATTTCAAGAACGCGCTTTTCTTCTTGTTATCGCTCGAGAAACCTGTTTTCTGTCATGCCTCGTTTGATCCTCGATGACCCTCGAAAATCTGTGCAAAACGAGATATCGTCGAGGATAGACTCTCTTGATGGTTTCTCGATTGTTGATATGTTTTCGAAGCACTACAGAAAGAAATGTTTGTTCCTCTCTATAGAATAACGTTTCAATCTATTACATAATCGATACACATTAAATAAAATTAAACATTATTTTTTCAGAAGAAAAAGACACTATAATAAAAATTACAATAGTGTTTTAAAATGATATTAATGTGACGTTTTATCTCATTATTTAACGTGATGCATTATATGCGAAAATAGTATTTATATTTCAATAAACTATTTTCTTTCAGAAATCAAGTAGTGTGGTACTGGGATACTAGAAAGAGTTATATCTCTTATTTGCTGTTATCTTTTTGACCTTTTTGATGTTTAATGGTTTTTGTGATCGAGAATACAGAGATCGACGATTATTGTGATTCTCTTTCAAGTATTACTTTTCAAAAGAGATCAATCAAATTTTAGTTGGACACACAAGACCAAGTTTTAATTTATCACAAGATAAATTTTTTTTATAAAAAGAAAATAATGAAAAATAATATGAACTTGAGAGGAAAGTAATTCGGTATCTCAATTACAGAGTCCCTTTAAATCGTTCATCGTCACGTTTCCTGCTCAGATTTCTCTTCTCCCAAAATGTCGCGCCCGTACATAATCCAAATACGCTCGATTTCCATTAGTATCCGGCAATTAACGACGGTAATCCAATTTTACAGCCAGGTCTGCAAAAAGCTCTCACGCCTCGAAGCAGCCAGCGCGGCGCCGCGACGCGCCACGACGCGCACCACGCATATAACTCGACTGTTCGCCAAATTTACGGCCGGCGTACTACGAGTGAAATAATCGCCACCCTCTTCTCCTCCCTCTCTCCATAGAAGCTTCTCATTTCATTCATCGTATATATAGTGTTTTTGAAAAACGTGTAATAAAATCTTCAATAGATTTTTCAAAGCTAATCGCGAAGAGCCCTTTTTCTTTAGGATTTATTTTGAGCAAATTTATATAATAAATATTAATGTGTCGCAACACACGAGCCTTTCTTTAAAAAAAGGCATGTTAACTGAATGAATTTAATTTTAATTCAAGTATTGAGGACTCTTTTCCGCGATGCTCGTTGATTGTCTTCAAGTTTATCGCTTCGCAGCTTGAATCACAATCAAGTCGTTTGACAGTTTGTTGCGGTTTGCGGAATTAAACTTAATATTATTTTATTTGCTGAGTTTTCATTATGCACATAATTTTATGTTTATGTCATCAAATTTCTATTATGTATATAATTTTAATTCACCGAATTACTATTATATGCATAATTTTAATTTGCTGAATTTCTATCATGCACATAATTTTATTGTGTGTATACATAATTTATTCTTGAATTTTTATTGTGTACATAATTTATGTGTACATAAAGGGAATTACTGCAGTGACTTCTCTTTTTTCAATTAACTAATATTAAAAACTAATATTAGGGAGAATAAAACTAATCTGAGGAAAAATAAAACTAACCTGAGAAAAAGTAATACTGCTCTGAGAAAAAATAATAGGTACTAATATTATGGGAAAAATAATGCTAATCTTAGGAAAAATAATACTAATATTAGGAAATACAAAACTAATTTTAGGAAAAATAATACTACTTAATATTAGGAAAAATGTATTATTGGCAAGTTCTAATTCTAAAGTATTAAAAGTTAATATAAAATTCGAGAAATGGCGCGCTTTCGTTGATCTAGTATTTATTTAAAAATGCGTGATACGCGCAATAGTAAGCTTGATATTTTAATTGCGAAGAGGGATAAAATGATTTTATAAATGTAGTGCTCTTGTCGAGTAACTGATAATGAGTTTTCATAATATCAAATTCAAACGTAAAATATTCTGATTAGTTTCTTTTAATTTTCAATTAAATTACTCGTTTAAATAAATTTATTAAGGAGATAAATAATTTAACAAGTTTATGCATTATTAGTTGACTATAAAATTATATTGTTTCTTTTAAGAAATTTTATCTTTCTATGGTATACATATTAGAAAATGTATAATGAGTTACTCGTATGCAATTATAACAGACAGGCAGACGAACGTATGCCCGATTATCTCAATACATTTCAAATAATATTTCATTATTAAAAACATTTCGCCATATGTATATAACGGATATTTAGGTGGCAAAGTAAGGGTTGTGTAAGTTCATCCAATATAATCTCAATTGTGCGCTTGCGCACGTTCGTTGTCGCGACGCTTCGCATCGTCCTGCAATGGGCCGAACCGTCAGTCCTGCCGAGAGAGGATGGTCGTATATTCATCTTCCTGTGTCGGTCCGTGATTTCGAACTTGGTCAATGGATATCGATGAAATTTTTCGCGAAAATGACTGATAAGTGCGAGAATGTCGTGCATTAAAATCATTAATTGCTTCTTTTTATCGTTTCGATAATTCTTTAATAATAACAAACGATACTTTTATTTTATCATTACATTCTGTTAAAATTAAGTGTGTGAAATGAAGAATTTATTATAATAATTTACAGACTATGCCATTTTTATTGATAACAGATTCTGGAAATTTCATATCGTGCGCTCGTTGACAAATTTTTATCTATATTAAAAATTCTTTTTCTTTAATAAATCTAAAAAGAAATCCAAAAATACTAATAAAATAAAATAAAAAAAGAATTCATCATTATCATTAAATCAAAGACAAAGAATTCTGTGAAGAATGGTTGTGAATCGCATATCGAATAATGTAATCACTTTTTCTCGCAATTGTTCTCCGTCCGTCGTAACGTAAAACTAGAATTTTCCATGAAATCTAATTAGAAGAAGCGAATGCGATCCACTCGAATCATCAACTCTGCGGATCTTTTTGAATCTCTCCGGATACTTGAAGATATATTCGAGGAATCGCGATTGCGTACAGCGTCTCGAAAAATGAAAAAGAAACAATGTCGGGTCTCAAGATGCCCGCGGGCTATTCACGCACCAGCAATGGAACCAAGCCGAAAAGCAGAATTTGTCGATTGAAATCTTCGCGATCGCTGATACCCTCTTTAGCGGGAAGTATCCCGGAAAAGACCCTGGAAGTAACAGAATCCTCGTCATCGAGCCCAAGTAGGTCATCCACATCGCCGCGAAGAACTTTCAGCGACCGAAAGTCGCCCAAAAGATCGTTGACGGAAGAACGTCAACAGACATATCACAGTCCTAAGCGTTCGCCGAGGAAATTTTTGCCATCCTTGGATGACGATTCGTTCGAGGACGAGATGGGTCTGGGACTCGAAGTATCGTCGACCACGTCAACATGCGTCGGCGAAAAATCTGGTATGTCCTACCTGGAGTTCGAGACTCTATACACCTTGGAGAAAGAGATGTTGACGCAATCGCGATGCAATCAAGATCAAGTAGCCCAGCTAAATGACAAGTGCATGATAGCGGGATGGTTTGGCGGTAGAAGGGGTGTCTACACGGAACTTCCAGATCCCTTGCTGTCCCATCACATGTGCATGTGTGGTGCAGTTGCACCTCAGCTCTCTAACTCGCAGGCGCCGATAGAAGGATTCAGTTTTGCACCCGGATGGTCTTTAAATGCAGATCATTTTTATCAGTGGCAGCATCGCGGAAAAACTACACAGCAGGTAGTTTGTCATTAGATTTGTAATTTCGAGTTTTTAGGAAATTAGGAAAATTAATGAAGTGCAATCAAGTTTGAAAAGGATTAGGCGCATATAATGGAGTATTTAGCGAATTGAGCCACTGATCAAATTTATCTGTAATACTTGTAATGAGTACACTGTTTTACATAATTATGCATAATTTATATTGATGCATAATTCATAATATATTTTATAAAAAGTTTAAAGGATCGATGATTTATGTGTCAAGAAATATTCTTGGGAATGCGCCGATATATCAGATATTATGGATGCATTTGATTGTACAATCATTTCATCGAAATTATTAATAGCAAATTATAACAGTGAAATTTAATTATTTATTTAAAGGCTCCGCAATCGCACACACACTAAAATACAATTCAATCATATATTCAATTATTAAATTATACGATATTGCATATTCGCGGAAGAGATTATATTTTAAAATTGCATTTAAATCAAGTACAAAATATCACATATTTTGTCTTTGCACATTGAATAGACGAAAAATTATATCTAAAGAGAGGTTTGTAATGTTGTATTATTTTTTAATTATAATTATTAAATCATGAATCATATACTGAACATATTAAAATATACAATATTGAATTATAAAGAATTAAATTATATTTTAATACCAATCAAGGAGATGATAAATTATGTAACTATCCAGAAAAAGGCCTTACCAACGCATTAAATTATAATAATTTTAGTAACTACAATATTGAAAGTGACAAAATTATATTTTTCAAATCTTTAATCGAATACGTACCATTTAAGTTGTTTTTTTTTTCTTTTACGATTGAAACGGACGATAGCGACATTCAGGCGGTGAATTAATCCTCACCTGGAAATTCGGGGAAATTTGGGAAATTCGGAATTCCGAATGCAGATCTCGAAATGAACTGTCAGCGGCACGCTCTCTTGCACGCGTTCGCTCACGTTCTCGAATTAATCGAAAAACGGAAGCAATTTTGCAAGCGGACGCGGTGAATCGTCGTATTTAACGTGGACATTTGTCCTTCTTCGTTTCGATAACGTTTCTCTTTCGTCCTATCCTTTCCCCTAAAGGCTCGTAATATTCACTATACCCCATGACCGGCCTCGTCATCCCCTGAGGCGAGCTGATTTTCCTATACACCCTCTCGACGAGCTAATTTTGGAAACCGAGCCGCAAATTCGCGGCGCTACGCATATCGAATTTAGCTCCATTTCGCCGCTGGCGATTCGCGGATTTCACGCAATCGTCTATTGCGAAAATAATCGCGAAATAATCGTTGTAGCGCAGTAATACGACTGCAGCGCATATTGGACAAATAGAGCGCATATTACAAATAAAGTAAATGAAAAGAAGCAAAAAAAAATATTAATATAGGTACAAAATATTTTATATAAATTAAAGTATATATATTCTGTCCTTTTACTGCCCTTCCTTAGATACCCCTATAGATTGTCAAATAATATTATCTTAAAAAGTGCAAAATTATAATAAGTTATGTAAAGGAACGATTCTCTGTAACAAAGTGCAAAGAATAAATTAATTCGACAAAATTTATTATACATTTACAGAATGCTTTCCTAAAGACAAATAATTTCTGAAAAATTGATCAAAAGTGCATTATCTTTTACGATATGTTGAGGTCAAATTAGTTGAAAAAAATGGAGCATTCTGTGTTGTTCATTTTGCTTTTTTTCATTCTCATGTCGTCCCGTGGCGTTCGTGTTTCGCTTGTAAAGGGCTCTCGAGATTTCTCTCAACGAGAGGATCGATCCTCGCGAAGGCTATCAAATATGCTGCCCGGGGGTGTGAAGGCACTTTGATCAACCCTTAAGAAGTCCCTTGCCGTCCTTCGGCAATGTTTACTTTAAGGGATGCTATCGGCTACCAGCATCCATGACGCAAGGTGCACTGTCGTCTTCTTGTTCCTTATGCGGATATATCGCCAAAGGATTAGCCCTCGGCGAGACGAAAACAAGGATGTTCATTAGATTGCGATCAAAGCGAATGTTGACTTTACTCGTCAAATTTGCACTCAAAATAATATTAATTCTTAATTAAATGATATTTCGAGTCACATCTCGAATTGAAGTTTTTTTTAGACAAAAACTTTATAAAATGCAGAAAATTAATTAATAATGTTTATGTAACAAAAAACACGTGTAATACTATTCGCACCTGGAAAGTGAGAAACATAATATATTTATTTTTTTTATACAATTTATTTATACATATATGCGTAAGTAAAGTCTAAAGTCTAAATAAAATTACTTGTCTTATATATAGGATGCTTCTATATTTTTATCGTTAGACAATTTACTTAAGGATTAAAATATATTTTTTTAATAATTAAAAAATATGAAATTAAATATGATATATTGTTTTTCTATTTTTTCATTCTGCAGCGCACTGCATGTGTTATCATAAATAAAAATAAATGTTATAGAAAACGTAAACGTAACGTCATGATGATTGATTTTGGTGAATACAGTTCGCGTTTCTTTTCTTCATTTGTCCTTTTGTGATATTTGCCTTGGGGAATAGCACCAGCGTCTTCTTCTTGCAGGAAGGAGGGTGATTCTGTTTCCCTTTCCCGTTACTAAGGGACAGATTGACTCATGCTCTTATTCCTTTCGACAAAGCAAACGTATTCGCGTCATTATTACGTCTCACGTAGCTCAATTATTCGTACGGAAATAAGCGATCTAATTTTGTGTCTTATTGGGTATATCATATATCTCTCTCTTCTCGCGTGTAATTTATACCATACGATGAGAATGAATCCGATATTGAGATGCATCCGATATTCAATGTATATTTACAAAATGAAAATGCGTTCTCAACTTTTAAAATTTACAGATTTTGTACGTTTTTTTATTATATAATATAAGATACGCACGCACACACAAAACGTATATAATTGAAAAATTAAAAATATTTAGACATTCTTATTTTATTTAGAAACACCGTTTGTAATATTTATAATTTCTCTTTAAATTTTATTGTAATAAAATAATCAATTGTTAATATTTTTTTAATTAAAGTTATAATGTCTTTTTTATATTTGTTTTTCGCAAATGGCACACGCAATAGAATTATTGATTTTTCTTTCGGAGAAAAAAAATGTTTATGGCTGGTGAAAATTATTACTGACATCAGCTATTGTTTAGGTATCACGAGTCGATGAGATTTGACATATGTCGCAATATATCCATATTCACAAATCAGCGATCCGCATAGATTGTTGGGGATGATATTGTTAGCCGTATAACAAGTTTATATTACTGAAAATATCGAGGCATTTGCGAGAAATTGCAGCTCTCGTAAAAAAAAAAAAAAAATATGAGCGATAAACGAATTGAAACGCGCTTTTATATGTTAACAAAAAAATATTGTGACATTCAATTTTTAAATATTTTAATTAAATTTGAATCAATTAGTCATTTAATTTTGGTTTAATCTTGTTCAATTTTGTGTTGTATTCCTCTATTATGATTATATATCGTTTTATTAAGGCACGTGGAATCGATAGAGAAAGGAAAAGTTGTAATAGCGCGAAGGGGACGCGCGAAAGAGGGCGCACAGTCTGACAAGAGCAATTTTCGTGGGGCTGCAAATTGGCAATCGGACGATAAATGATTTAGGTCGTACTCACGAATGTCGATACTCATATACTGTACGTACATGCGTTTGTATTTGGCTTGCGATATTCGGATATACGGAGACGAACCTACCCCAAGGCGAAGCGCATATTTCCGCTTATCGAGTCATCTTACCGAGAAAATAGATCTTTAATCAAATCGCGAAGTGAGTCATAGATTCATACGCGTGCGTGAAATACATTTGTAAGCGTACAACGCGTTCTATAAATCGCGAACTGTTTCACCAAGCAAATAAGATTAAAGAAAATTAAATTTTAAATATTAAAAAGGCCGCGTAAAAGAGGAAGAAACAGTCTTTTTGAAATTCTTTAATTTTTACTCGTTTGAAATGAATTAGGAAGAGAGAGAGAGAGAGAGAGAGAGAGAAAGAGTAATAAAATTACATGATTGAATTATAATTATGAAATATTATTGATTAATATCATTAAAATAAAAATGTAGCGTTTCAACTTAGAATCTTGATTGAAAAGAGGCTGGATATCTCTCAAGGATGTAGCTCACATGATAAATATACAGGAACACAAACTTTCCAAATTTTCAAATCATCGTATATTTTATTAATGTTGTGTGTCGCTACATACCGGAATAAATATTTCTCTTTCGAACGCTGTTCTCTGAATACATAAATACTCATAATCCGTTTGCGTGGCAGGATGCAGCAGGATGCTAAAAAAATAATCGAGGTAGACGCGTTTGCAGCAATGGTGTTAAATAAATACGTCGACACAGCGTTGCACCTGGATTATCACGAAAAAGGGATTTCGTAGCTCTATCGGGTTTCGCTTTGCGCGGATTTTTCACTGCTGTTTTGCAGCTCAGCTTCCGTCCGAAATATTCCGCACGTTATTTGCCAAAAAAAGAAAACCAAACAAATTTCGTGTTGTTAAAATTTTTCTAAAAAAAGATTAAATTATATATAAATTATACATTTAATAAATTTAATTTATAATTGAATTAGGATTTTGAACATAAAAACTTAATTTTTGTTTCTTACGTTACGTAACGGATTAAAATAATGAGTTTTTATATTATTTAAAATGTATATTTTTCGTTTTGCATATTTTTTATAGCATATACACGAGTAATATAGAAATAAATTATTGCATATTTGAAAAAGAAAGTGAGAAAGCATACACATTTCTTTCTCTTTTATATATTTGTTCATTATTTCTTATTATATTATCTAACAGTCTTCGATAGCCGTTTTGTGTGTGTCATGCTCGAAAGAAGTTTTGGTAAGCCGTCCGCGAAAGGACACCCGACGTGCAAAATCAATATTCCCCGCGTACACTCTCGGACCTTCCGGAGTCTATGCCACATTG